ATCAGGACTTTATCTCTAGTTACGATGAGTTGCAGAAATGTCTCATTATCAGCATTGTGTATGAATATATAAACATCAACTCACAGCCCGAGTAGATAATAACAACACCAAACGATCGCCTAATTATCGGGCTATAATATGGCTATTTTAAATGATTGGAACTAAGTAATTTGACATTAGAGGTAGGCGTTAGGCGCCATCTCTTAATTAAATTAATAATTAAATAAATAAATTTAGAACATTCTGGAATAAAAGAACTGGCCCGGGACGGGGCTTGAACCCGCAACCTCCGCTTGCCGTGCGTAACTGGCAAGCGCACCGCTCGGCAAGCGGAGGTTGCGGGTTCAAGCCCCGTCCCGGGCCAGTTCTTTTATTCCAGAATGTTCTAAATTTATTTATTTAATTATTAATTTAATTAAGAGATGGCGCCTAACGCCTACCTCTAATGTCAAATTACTTAGTTCCAATCATTTAAAATAGTCATATTATAGCCCGATAATCAGGCGATCGTTTGGTGTTGTTATTAAGTAATGTACTCATTACAATACAATGAAATTTTACTCGGTATATTTAGAAACAATGAACTAAATTATTATTAATTATAATAATAACATAAATAAAATAGCTTTTCTGTTAATTGTAAACGATTTGCATAATGATAAATGGTATTTAGGCAATCAACTGGAACTACTTATGATGTAAGCACAAAATTTTGTTTTACATAGTATCTGCTATCAACCTCTGTATAAAATAAGACCATACAATATATTTGTGTTTATATACCATATCTAATTCATTTGATAATAGTTAAAAATATTAAGAATATGCAGGAATAAGCTAGAAAAATCAAATATATCTTTCTTAGCATTCATAACTATCAATAACCCAATTTAATACATAAAAATCCATTAAATTATAAAAATATTTACATACCTATATATAGCTTATAAGTAAAAATATTGATAATTTGCATCATGCTACACAATAGCCAGATGAAGTAGCAAGTAGTCAACGTTATAATATATAGTAAAACCTCAATATTATAAACCCCTATATAGCAAATTATGCATTATTACAGACAGCCAATGTCAGTCCAGCCAAATTATAGGAAAATTATAAGAACTTGCCACAACAGACTATTTTTCAAGTCCCACACAACACTTTCCTTCAATTATTATGAACTTTTTAGTCACTGTTTTATTTTGATGCAATCATCAATTTATTTGCTTATTTAAAAATAAAAAATAAAATAAAATTCATTTTTAATAATTTTTTTGACTTACATTTTTACATTACATCTAGTTTTTTTGTTTTGTTTTCTCTATGAGCAACAAGTTTTGGACTTGCATAAAGCAAGTTAAGGATCATAAAAAAAATGAAAAGCTATAGATTTATATCTTACATATACCAGTACTGATAGATAGAAACATTGTTTCTATAAGTTTAATAAAAATCTGACATATATACTTTACAACTGAAATTTTGCCCACTATATAACGACTTTAGTCCACAATATTGATATATAATAATGGACAATTCGATATTACTATGTACAGTAGAATCTCCTTATATTAGCAGTAATAATCTGTTGAAATAAGATAAAAGTACATTGATTTGGCATTTGGACCGGGAGAAGACATCTTCAAACTGCAGATATTTTCTCCAGGTTCATAATTGAGTTCCATTTTAATGTGATTCTACTGTATAGTAATGAACTTTTCAATATAATGGACAAATCCATAATAAAAAGTAATCACAATAAAATGGATTTTCATTATAACGAACCAATTTCTTCAGTTTCTCCAGTAGTGGTCTATTAAATCAATCTTTTACTGTAGTTATAAAAATTGTTTTACTGAAATTATATATTTTATTAAAAAAAATTACTATTATTAACTTGTAGTTTTGATTGAACCTATTCCCTTTACTCATCTAATTACTTTTCTTAAACTACTTTGCCTAAAGGAAAAAAGTGAAGTTAAGAATTTTTTAGACTATTAGAATAAACAGATCATGCTTTTACTGATTATTTCTCCTTTTCATGATGTTATGTACAATTATTCATTTTGATATATTATTATATAATAATGATATTCTAACTAAAAAAGCAAGGATGTAGGTATGGTATGAATGGCTCTAAGAAATTATGGGATGGTCTTACTGGGGGTTCTGAAGGTCATAGGGAAAAAAGTACATCCTTTTTTATACCTAAAGAAAATGCAATCAGTTGCACCCTATCCTAAATAAATCATCATCTCTCACTATCCTGATAGATATGGGAGCATAAGATTGCTCTCAACAATATGAAATGTTCTTATGTGATAAGGTTAACTCCAACTAACTGAGGCAATAGATACCATCTCCTTAATAGACAACAAAAACATAACTGTTCTTGATACCATTTTATTGATAAGAAATGATGGAAACTAAGTGAAGCAGAACTCTTACAAGGTAAAAATAAAAACTAAATTTGATTAAATGTCATCAACTTAAGTATTCATTTCTGCATTCAAATCACTATGAAGATATTTATATGGTCATTCAAACCTTTTCAGAGAAACAAAGGTCACTTGACATGGGCATATGGACTGGTATTAATGTTACTTTTTTAGAATTAACTGACACACAATCAAATCTATATATCTATCTAGAATATAAGGTAAAATCTGTTTCAGTTCGTTAAAGTATTAATGCTATATACAGAGAAATTTTATAAGTTTCATATAAATAAATTTATTTTCCCTATTTATTAGTAAGTAAACAATAATTTTTTACAGCAAATATTTTGCAGGGTACAACCACAGTTAATTAATTATAGGTTGAACTAAAAGTTTGTTCAGTTTTTAGAGAGAAATAAAAATATATTATTTTGGAATAAATAAAAACCTTTAATCCACAATGTATTCACCCTTCTGTTCAATAACCTTATGCCATCTGATTGGTAGTTTCATAATTCCATCTGTGTAGAATTTAGGGGCTTCTGATTGAAGAAATTATCAATGTGATTTTTGATACCTTCTAAAGATTGAAATTCTATGCTATTTAAATTATTCTGTAATGAACAAAAAAGATGATAGTCTGATAGAACAATATCCAGAGAACATGCAAGTTGGCTCAAAACATCCAGTTAAAGTCTAGAAGTTTTTGATGCATGTTCAATAATGTGTGTGGTCTTGCATCATACAGAAATCTTGACTTTTCACTTTATAATTATTGTGGCATATTTTGTTTATGGTTATGTTAAGAATAACCACTTCCATTGATTTGCAAGTTCTGGATGTCTTTGATGCACTGCAGCCTTCAGTTCATCCAGTTAAAGACAATATTTATTGGAATTAATTGTTTGGTTTTTGGGAAAAGCTCATAATAAGAAGCACTTTCCAATCCCACCAAATTGAAATTATTACTTTTTTGGGATGCAAACCAGCTTTAGGTTGTGGCAGTGGCAGATCACCTGGCTTACTCCATGAACTCTTGTGTTGAATATTGTAAACAATCCATTTTTTCATCGCCTGTTATTAATCACTTTAAAAATGGATCATCATCATTGCAATTTAAAAATGAGTCACAAACAGAAACATGCTCAATAAGGTTTCATTCACTTAACTGATGGGGAACCCAAACATCATAAGGGGAAGTATATTCAAGGAAGCCAAATGTCTGACAACAAATGTTTGGGACCTTTTTAGGGTGTAGGCTATCTCTTGTGTTGTTCTATGTTTGATCATTTTGGATTAAAGTCATTATGGACTCATCTTCTATGGTTGAGGGCATCCTGACCAAGGTGCATCTTCAAGAGAAAAATCTCCCACCCTAAATTTTTAAAACTATTTCTGGCATGTTTGATGAGTAACTCCCCATATACAGCACATATCTTCTTTTGAGTTTTTGTTGCATTTTTCTCTTTTCAGAAATAATAGAGCACAAGATGTCAAAAATGCACCTTCTTATCTTCCATTTTAATATTTCTTTTTCCTCTTAAAAGATAACAGAATTTTAAAAAATAACTGCAAGCAACTAAACATATATTAAATATGAAATTTTCATAATGCCCACCTAAACAAGTTAAAACTTGATAAGCATGACAGAGGTGACACAAATGAACGACTATGTAAATACCCAAATGAACTTTCAGTTCAACCTAAATAATAAATCTATTATTCCATTATTCATAATGCAAATAAACTTATTTTATATGAAATTATAACTCAAATTACAATATTAAATCACTAACTTGTAATATATCTATTGTTTCAGATGGATCAATAAATAATTGAAGACCAAGATAGACAAAAAGTGTTTGAAAGGCACAACTTTCATGTAGTTTGCCATCCTTCTTCTGTTGTTTTTGCAATTTGCTGGTAATTGTAATAACATCTTCCCAATATTCTTTAATCTATTTCAAAAATTAAAGAAAATTGTTATTATTTGTTAATTTATTATAATTTTTAAAATGTACAAATAAATAAAAACATGACTTGCCTGATTAATGTCTATAAGAGGAATGAAATAATCTGGTAAATTTAATATTGTATTAGTATAATGAAGAATGGAAGACATCATTTCACATTTTTTCTGAAGATTTGTTTTTTTTGAAGATGATGATCTGAACAGAAATTCTAATGAACGAATGAAACTTTTGAGACATACTTCTCTTATATTGTCAGATATTTCAGTTGGTATCTGAGAAGACTAAAATAAATATAAAATAATGAATTACAAATTTAAATAATTAATTTTTTTCTTTTGTGTAATTAAATTACCTCAGGTACTTCATCACATGGCTGTTTGATTTTAAAAAATGAATGAAGAAGAAGAAACTGAACACACTCTTTTTTCCAATCAATATTTGATATTAAAGCTGGATGTCCTACCAATAAAGATATCTAAAAGTGAATCAAATAAAAGAAATTTGTAAAATAAAAATTTATATATAATATGACAAATATATTAAAATGTAGATGTATTTGTATTTTATTTGTAATTTACTTTTTACAGTTTTAATAAATGTAATAATTAAAAACCTATAACAACTCTCTAATATCTTTATTTATATACCATTGGTGATTGGTTAATGAACAGCTCGGACTGCGAACAAATCAGATAACGAACACTTTCATGAAAGATTTTTATGTTCGGACATTCAGACAATGAACACATCACAAAACAAACACAAAAAGAAGGGACATGAAATAATGAATACCGATTGGTTTTCCCTTGTCTCCAGATGACAATTCAAAACCTTTCAGAGCATAGGAGACGTCGACATTGATGCTCAATCCAATACCAATCTAATAGTATTTTTCCAAACTTTAAAACTCTCCCTTGTAATTCCAGCTTTTTGTTTATCTTTGTGACAAATAATTTTTTATAGTCTTTGTAAGACTGTTGGGCAGTTGTTAAGTTTTGCATTGGTTTTTATTTTCAAATGGTGAGAATTTAACTGTCCTATCTTATATTTGTTAACATTTTAACAGCAAAATTTCAAATTTTATTTGGGCCTCACATTTACATAATTCTTTCATGTGCTAGTTGATTTATGTTCTCTGAACTTTTGTGAGTGCTTTTCTGAACTTTTTATTTCAAAAAGAAACTGATAATATTATGGAGCCTAAAAAGAATGGAGTGTCAANGGGCCTCACATTTACATAATTCTTTCATGTGCTAGTTGATTTATGTTCTCTGAACTTTTGTGAGTGCTTTTCTGAACTTTTTATTTCAAAAAGAAACTGATAATATTATGGAGCCTAAAAAGAATGGAGTGTCAAGAACTGTGCTCACCATAGAAACCAAGCAAGAGACAATAGCCAAGGTAGAGAGTGCACAAAAGATATCTGATGTTGCTAAGCAGTATGGCTTGAACAGGTCTACAGTAGTCACAATCTTAGCAAAGAAAGATATAATCAAGAAGACTTAAGGAGCTAAAGGAGTAACAAAAATCACATCTGAGAAACAAAGATGTGCAATCCATGAAAAAATTAAGAGATTGCTTTTAATTTGGATAAAAGAAAGAGAAATGAAAAAAAGATGTAACTAATATGATTATCATTCAAGAGAAAGCTAGAGAAATTTTTGAAGAACTGAAGAAACAAACTACATGAGGAGATAGGATTCAAGGCTATCACTGAATGGTTTGCAAAGTTTATAAGGAGAATTGGCATTAAACATGTGGTAATTCACAGTGAGTCTGCTAGTGCAGGTAAAGAAGCTGAGAAGTTCTGTCTCAAATTTGCAGAATTCATTAAAAAAGAAGAATATTTTCTACAACAAATTTTCAGTTGTGATGAAACTGGTTTATTTTGGAAGCGCATGCTGAACCATACCTACATTACAAAAGAAGAGAAAAATATTCCTGGGCATAAACACATGAAAGACTGATTGGCATTACTTTTGGGAGCTAATGCTGATGATGATATGAAGTTTATCCCACTTCTTGTTTATTACTCTGAGAACCCTAGAGCATTCAAAAAAGATCCATAATTAAAGAAAGACTGCCAGTGATGTGGGAATTGAATAAAAGGGCATGGGTCAAGCAGGCTCTTTTCAAAGAATGGCTGTTTGAAGTTTGTGCTCCAAGCATCAAGGATTACCTTCAGACCAATGAATTGCCATTGAAAGCACTGTTGCTATTGGACATTGCACCAGGACACACAAAAGACCTTAAAAATAATTTGCTGGAATACTTTCCCTGGCTGACAGTTCAGTTTCTGGCTCCGAACTTCGTTGATTCAATTAATGGATTAAGAGGTTATTGCAGGTTTCAAGAAATTGTACATTTGAGCACTGTTTTGTCGGTGTTTTGGAGCATGTCAGTTCTCTTCAATGATGACATCAAATTTTTCTTTCCAAAACATTTTTAATATTCTTGAAGCTATATGGCTCATTCAAAAGGTATGGTCAGATGTCACTCAACAACAGTTGAATTCTGCTTGGCGAAAGCTGTGTCTCTTTTGCATACAGGAAGACAGGATGATATCCTTGAAATTATGGATGAATTGTGACAACTGCTAGAGATCTGGAATTGGAGGAGAATGAAGATAACATTGAAGAGCTCATAATGGAATTGGAAACTGATCTGATGACAGAAGAATTCCAAGAAACTCAGCAGATTTTTTTTTTTTTTTGAAAAGGACGAAGACAAAAGAGGATCAATGCCGACATCTGCTATTAAATATTTTTGAAGAAGTGCGAGGATGTCAGAATAGTGGTCTTAGAATGGCATTCAAACCAGATTGATGTTAATAAGCTTGGGGATCTCTACAACGACAATGTTATTAATTACTTCTGAAAAATCCTGAAGATGAAAGAAAAGCAATTGACATTAGACAGATTCTTTAACGTCCCACAAATGGAAAAAAAATGACCGATAAAAATGCAAGACTGTACATGTGTATTTTTGTTATTACATATACATAACCAAAAAGTATGTAACTTTTTATTTATAGTAAGAAAGTATGTAATTTTTTATTTATGTTTTGGGGTCTCCAGAACAAATTAATCAAATTCCCATAAAAATCTGTGGTAAATTGATAATTGGTTAACGAACAATTCGGGTAGCAAACAAAGTCTTGGAATGGATTATGTTCGTTAACCAATCACTGTATAAACAAGAGTATATGATAATGTAAATCAGAAAGATCCAAGTATTTTCAATTTGCAGGCCAAATTGTATGTTTGAGCTTAAATCACAGGATACAGAAATAAATTTTTCTGATTATATGGAAGATAATATCATCCCTTTCCCATAATAAGGTATACACATTTATTTTTATTTCATAATATGGTGTACAAAACTCTTATACTGGAAATTTTTATATTAAATTCATATAAACTTTGTTTAATCCTGATATAACTTACTGCTAAGATAAATATTACTCCACATCTTCAAAAATGCCATTTGGTTTCACTGTCATTATTGATAAATATATATACTTAAGTTAATTTCTCTCTTGAAATGTCTGAGTGTGTTAACTTGGGAATTCCATTCACAAAAGACAAACTGTGGATTGTGCTTCAACAATTGAAAGGGATATCTTTAACCTTGCTCAAATTGTTGGAGTAATTCTTGAACCTTTGACTACATATATCTTTGTTTTATTTTTGTTTTTAGATGAAATGTCAGCACAAATATCTCCTTTTTCATATTGTTCTTTGGCCTTGTACTAAATTCTGGAGACAGTTAAACAAATAACTTCAAGCTCAAGTTGCATTTCACTGATTGTACCATGGCTCAATTTGTTTCCAACCATGTGCTGTAGAAAATACAGTAAAATTCCATTGTGCTGATTAGAGGCCAATTGCTTTACTTTATTGCCTTTACTATTTGAAGCAAAATTCTCTGAGGCAATATTTTCTTGTATGTAACACTTGTCACAAGTGTTATTTTTATTAGCTTCTCTTTTCATTACATTTGCTTCAATTTTTTTGAATGATATTGTTTCATGAAGTAATCAATTTCTGCTACTTGCAGCCTAAAAACTGCACACCAACATCAAACATAGAGGGTACTGTAGCCTTATGTATACCATTCAGAGGGATCCTACCTTTCTCTACTGTCTATCTCCTCTTTCTCCTTTTCCCCTCTCTTTTTCCTTATCCTATTTTCTTCTGGCTAAACACTTTGTGTATGGATGATGTCTTTTTTGTACATATGTACTTATGTAACCTGAGAGAATATTTTATTAATTCTTAAGTACCAAAGCTAATGAAACCCATATAATGACTGAACTTCAGTAACTAAAGTGCCTCAGAATTTTTTTTGAAATTTATTTTTGTAAATGTTCGTAAAATGTTTCAAACAGTTCAAAAAATGATATTGAAAACTTTTATTGATATTATTCCATTATAAAAACAATCAAGATTAATTATAAGTAAAGATAAACTGTAAAATGAAAAAAGATAATTAAAAACTTCATTCATAAAGTAAAAGTATCAAAAAATAACTAATCTAAATATATGAAAATAGTAAACTATTGTTTTGTGTAATAAATTGAAGATATCTGCTATATCTTTATCATTACTCAATAGCATTCAACACACACAGTTATGGTAGCTCTTCTTTGGTGGACTTCATGTATGATGTTTTTGCAGGTATTACAGGTTACTTTACTCTTTTTCATCTTTTTTTGGGACATTTGAACATCATCTACATTTTCTTAGTTTGACTATATCATCTTGAAGATAGCCAGGAACTTCAATGCTGCATTATACTAGAATGCTTTTAATGACTATAAAACTTTATTGTAACTAGCACAAAACTCCATATTTTTTCTTGCTAAGTCATTTGCAAGTCTCAAAAGAAATATTCATCAGTGGCAACTCATTCCTTTTTCCAATCTGGATGCTTCTCATTATTGCACATACACCTCACATATTCATAAAAAGTCTGTAAGGTCAGTGGACAGTTCTCCTAGCACAGGTAGTATTTATTTGTGTCATTGACTCTACCCTTTTTCTTATTATAATCCACTATAATTATTGGCTTGTTATTATTTTTTTCAGAAATTCTATCACATTGATGTTGAAAATATAACAAATTTACCATTTTATTTTTTGTCATTTAGGAGACTATTGTCAACTTCTTAGTAAACAAAGCTCCTTAAAAGCAAATCTTAAGGAATGTTCTGGGTGAGAAGATACCTTCAGAGTACTTTATGTGTCATTTTTGTTTTTGTGAACTGTCCCAACAATGTAAGATTTTTGGTTAGTAAAAAATTGGCCAAGACAGCTACGATAAAAAATTGTCAGTTGTTAGAACTTGTCCTGAGCCATAAGAAGATTCCATCAAGTCTTTTACTACACAATAGTCTTGGTCTTGTTCTTTTGCCTCACCAAGAAGTTTACCTGTATATACTTGAAGGTTGCAAAGATAGGAAGTTTTAACATCTGCAGCTGCTCAAATTTTGATACCATATTTGACAGGTTTAGATTTTATAAACTGTCTAAAAGGGCACTGTCTTCTGAAGGAAACTAGCTGCTCATCAACAGTCAAATGTTTGTATGATTCAAAAGAGTTTTGCAGTTTTCAACAAATAAATTCCAAATATGATATCTGTAACTTCAGTTAACTTGTCAGCTTTTTCTCTGTCAGTCCTGGTTAGTTTCCTGGTTATTATTGTTGAAATGTAAAAAAAGGCCATATTGCCATAAACTTGTCATGAAACATCACAGCCGGAATAAAGAGTGGTATATTTAGAGATCAGTGGTCCACATTTCTCTAACTGATTTTCTTTCACACTTCAAAGTACCTGCCTTGATAAGAATTCTTACAATGCAATCCAATTTGACATGATCTAATGGTTTCCAATTTTCTTGTAAATTCAGATGATTTTCATTCCACAATGAGTAAAATCTTTCAACTTTCTTGTTAGTGTAAAGATGTATAATGTCTTTTATTTCAGTATTTATGAATAAATTAAAAATTTCTACAAATGACTCATCTTGATGACTGTAAACTGTGATATCAGGTTTAATATTCAAAATATTTCTTGCAAGATGCCTAGAAGAACTCTTTATAGGTTTATTGAACCATTTCATATCTTATCTTATCTTATCTAACAGTATATTCTTCATTTTCAATGATTTCCTGATCATCAGAATTAGGTTCAATATCACTTGGTTCTTCTTACTGGACTTCTATGTTATAATCTTTTCATTCACTTAGATTTTCTTGCAATATAAATCCCTTATCAACATTTTTATCCCATTCACCTTAATATGGACTTTATCCTCAGAATCTGAACTATCACTAAATCTACTAGTATTTTTTCAAGTTGGTTTTTGATAAATGTAATTTCTTTCTTATTCTTATTTCTTAATGTTAATTACATTTTCAGATATAAATTATAGAAAATGTAAAATATAAATTTTTGTAAGAAAAAGGACATTGAGGCATTTTAATTATAGAAAATGTAATTAACATTAAGAATAACAACAGCCAGTCAAAAATCCTTATTTCTTACTACAGTTCAATTTAGAAAAATATACATAAATGTATACCATATTATGGGACAGAGTAAATATATTTTAAATTTTTAATTAAATAATAGAATATAGGTAGAAAATATTTGTTCAATTGTTCAATAATTTCATTTGCAATTTCAACTTGTCAATAATATACCTGTCCAAATTAGCATTGATCCAGATAGCTATCTCACTGAAACATTACCTATACTTGCAGCATGCTCATTGAACCCAAATATCTTGATTGACAAGCCAAATTGCACATAAGTTGTAAGTAAGTGGGTCACATATATTTTATATATTCCATATATACCAAATGTCCTATTTGGTATATATGGAATATATACCAAATAGATGATTTCCTATTTCTATGATTTATAAGTAATGTGTCAAATATGTTTGTGGTTGGATTTAACATGTGCTTTGGTCAGATTTGGCTCTGAGGGCTATAGTTTCAGCACCATTCAAGTTAATTATTGATAAAATTATAAAAACTAGTTTAAAAGCATTTTTCTTACTTTGAGAATTTTGGAATGCTTCATAAAATTTAATCAAGCATATTTTTTTGTAAAAGAGATGAATTTAAGAATGTATCCATTTTATACTATTTTACTCAGCACAAAAAACCTATCAAACCAACCAGCAGGAGTTTAATTTTTCATGTAAATTTGGACAAACATTTTCAACCTAATTACAAGTCTGCTTCACGTTTCCAGTTTTTCATTCTATTTTGGAATTTGAAATGAGCCAAATGAAAAAGAAATTACCTTTATCAGAAACCAAATTTGAAAAATTGCTAATTAGGTCAAAAACATTTGTCCAAATTTACATGAAAAATTAAACATCTGCTGGTTGGAATAAAAGTTTTTTGATGATTAGATTAAATTGTCCAGCTTTTGAAAGATATTATGGAGCCATTTTATACTATTACTGTCAAGCACACAAAAATGAAATGTGATGAATCATGTACAGAAGAATGCTAACAAAAATGCTGCAATTACCAAATAACAATGGTAGGGATTAATTATCTAACAAGGTCAGGTTGGATGTAATCTGCAGCTGTCAGTTGCACCATCTTGATAAAAATCATTATCTAAATATTCTTGATCAACCAAAAAAATTACATAAACTTTTATATATTTTATAATTTAACTACATTTTATTTTATTTTAGCTTGTTGTTGCAAACAATCTCATAAATTTTACTAAAAGACCACATTCTCTTGTAATGGATGCAGTAAGAGAGAAAGAGATACAAATTCATCAACTGCGTGAAGAGATTTTAACATTGCAAAAACAGAAAGAAGAATTAGCTGAAGAATATCACAAACTAGAAAATTCTAATAAAAATTTATCAGATGAAATGAAAAAAATTTTAAATAATAGAGAAGTATGTTCCTTTTTTATATATATATAGTATTAATTAATACTAAAACTAGGAAAATTAATATTGTAAGATTAAATTTATGATGTAATTTTTAGGAACTTGGTAAAGTTAAACAATTATTAATAACANAAAAGATCCATAATTAAAGAAAGACTGCCAGTGATGTGGGAATTGAATAAAAGGGCATGGGTCAAGCAGGCTCTTTTCAAAGAATGGCTGTTTGAAGTTTGTGCTCCAAGCATCAAGGATTACCTTCAGACCAATGAATTGCCATTGAAAGCACTGTTGCTATTGGACATTGCACCAGGACACACAAAAGACCTTAAAAATAATTTGCTGGAATACTTTCCCTGGCTGACAGTTCAGTTTCTGGCTCCGAACTTCGTTGATTCAATTAATGGATTAAGAGGTTATTGCAGGTTTCAAGAAATTGTACATTTGAGCACTGTTTTGTCGGTGTTTTGGAGCATGTCAGTTCTCTTCAATGATGACATCAAATTTTTCTTTCCAAAACATTTTTAATATTCTTGAAGCTATATGGCTCATTCAAAAGGTATGGTCAGATGTCACTCAACAACAGTTGAATTCTGCTTGGCGAAAGCTGTGTCTCTTTTGCATACAGGAAGACAGGATGATATCCTTGAAATTATGGATGAATTGTGACAACTGCTAGAGATCTGGAATTGGAGGAGAATGAAGATAACATTGAAGAGCTCATAATGGAATTGGAAACTGATCTGATGACAGAAGAATTCCAAGAAACTCAGCAGATTTTTTTTTTTTTTTGAAAAGGACGAAGACAAAAGAGGATCAATGCCGACATCTGCTATTAAATATTTTTGAAGAAGTGCGAGGATGTCAGAATAGTGGTCTTAGAATGGCATTCAAACCAGATTGATGTTAATAAGCTTGGGGATCTCTACAACGACAATGTTATTAATTACTTCTGAAAAATCCTGAAGATGAAAGAAAAGCAATTGACATTAGACAGATTCTTTAACGTCCCACAAATGGAAAAAAAATGACCGATAAAAATGCAAGACTGTACATGTGTATTTTTGTTATTACATATACATAACCAAAAAGTATGTAACTTTTTATTTATAGTAAGAAAGTATGTAATTTTTTATTTATGTTTTGGGGTCTCCAGAACAAATTAATCAAATTCCCATAAAAATCTGTGGTAAATTGATAATTGGTTAACGAACAATTCGGGTAGCAAACAAAGTCTTGGAATGGATTATGTTCGTTAACCAATCACTGTATAAACAAGAGTATATGATAATGTAAATCAGAAAGATCCAAGTATTTTCAATTTGCAGGCCAAATTGTATGTTTGAGCTTAAATCACAGGATACAGAAATAAATTTTTCTGATTATATGGAAGATAATATCATCCCTTTCCCATAATAAGGTATACACATTTATTTTTATTTCATAATATGGTGTACAAAACTCTTATACTGGAAATTTTTATATTAAATTCATATAAACTTTGTTTAATCCTGATATAACTTACTGCTAAGATAAATATTACTCCACATCTTCAAAAATGCCGTTTGGTTTCACTGTCGTTATTGATAAATATATATATATATTTAAGTTAATTTCTCTCTTGAAATATCTGAGTGTGTTAACTTGGGAATTCCATTCACAAAAGACAAACTGTGGATTGTGCCTCAACAATTGAAAGGGATATCTTTAACCTTGCTCAAATTGTTGGAGTAATTCTTGAACCTTTGACTACATATTCCTTTGTTTTTTTTTTGTTTTTAGATGAAATGTCAGCACAAGTATCTCCTTTTTCATATTGTTCTTTGGCCTTGTACTAAATCCTGGAGACAGTTAAACAAATAACTTCAAGCTCAAGCTGCATTTCACTGATTGTACCATGGCTCAATTTGTTTCCAACCTTGTGCTGTAGAAAATACAGTAAAATTCCATTGTGCTGATTAGAGGCCAATTGCTTTGCTTTATTGTCTTTACTATTTGAAGCAAAATTCTCTGAGGCAATATTTTCTTGTATGTAACACTTGTCACAAGTGTTATTTTTATTAGCTTCTATTTTCATTACATTTGCTTCAATTTTTTTGAATGATATTGTTTCATGAAGTAATCAATTTCTGCTACTTGCAGCCTAAAAACTGCACACCAACATCAAACATAGAGGGTACTGTAGCCTTATGTATACCATTCAGAGGTATCCTACTT